GAGTGATTCCATGGAAGCTCACTGTGTTTTGGTCAAAAGTTCCATTTTTTCTTCAGGGTCAATTTTAGTCAATACCAGATTTATTTATTTTTTCCATTTTCCAGAAGAACTGGCTGTGTGCCGTGTTTGTTTGTTTGTTAAATTTATATACCGCCCTTCATCCAAGGATCACAGGGTGGATTACAGTACAAAAACACAGAAATACAAAACATAATAACAAACAAAACAGTACCCCATCCACCCAGTTTAAAAGGTCATAGATTGTTTAATAACCAAAGACCTGAGTGAAGAGGAATGTTTTTGCCTGGTGCCTAAAGATGTGTAATGAAGGCGCCAGGTGAGCCTTCCTGGGGAGAGCATTCCATAAACAGGGAGCCACTGCAGAAAATGCTTGTTTTTGTGTTGCCACCTTCTGGACCCCTCATGGAGGGGGTACACAAAGAAGGGCCTCAGATGATGATTGCAGGGGCCATGTCAGTTCATATGGGGAGAGGTGGTCTTTGTTGTATTGTGGTCCTGAGCTATTGGTTGGTTGACTAGTGCCTGTGATATCATGAAGCCACCTGTCCCCCTCAACTGAAAAAAGCTGATTGTGTCTGGGTGTGCAGGTGTGTGTTTAAGTGCTGGAATGGAAAGACATGCAAGTACTCCTTTTAAGCAAAAGAGGCAGGGTAGGGGAGGGTGGAATGGAAAGTCTGTGTGGTAGATCAGCATTCAAAATGGAGACAAGTACAGTGGTACCTCGAGTTACAAATGCCTCAGGTTACAAACGCTTCAGGTTACAAACTCCGCTAACCTGGAAGTGTTACCTCGAGTTGAGAACTTTGCCCCAGGATGAGAATGGAAATCTTGTGCCAGTGGCAGCAAGAGGCACCATTAGCGAAAGCACGCCTCTAGTTAAGAATAGTTTCACATTAAGAATGGACCTCCGGAACGAATTATGTTTGTAACTAGAGGTACCACTGTACTGTTATTGTTTGCATTGTGGAAGGTGGAAACCAGGCCTCACAGTACAAGAGAGAGAGAGAGAAAGTGCTGCTCCCTGCTTTCAGATGTGATCTGTGTACAGCTTAGACAGGGCTATTGCATGAAGCCACTGCAGTAAGGGTTGGGGCAGTGAGACTGACATTGTGGTCCAAGCAACAGGTGAAATTACACTTTCCTAAATACATGCTGCATATGGCCAGGCAGACCTTTTTCCTCAAGGTCTCTCATGGTCTCCTTTCAGTTTGGTAAGGTTATAAAGGGGAAGTTGTGGGGCCTGGGGCATCCTCTCCTTTGAGCCAAAGTAGATTCCAGAGCTTACTGGAGACGGTTAGTGGAGATGTTTCAAACCAGTACATTGATAGAGATGACTGCAGGAACCTGTCCATTGTGAGGCTGGAATTAATCTCATTACAGACAGCGCTGCAAGATGCACTACTTTCGTCTGAGTTGATTTTAGCATTCCTAGCCCTATTTGTGGCCAGTATGCAGAGGGAATCAAGATTTTACAGCAAAACCATCTGGATCTCAACTGCATCAGATGACAGTGCTTCACCTTGTTAATGGAAAAAGGTGTTAAAGAAACAGTTCAACAGTAAGTTAAGAATTAGCTTAACAGGCTTTGTTAAGGACTGGAAGGCACAGATGAAACCTCACTGAGCTCAAAAGGACTGCAACCATTGTCTCTCTGGTTTTTCTCATGTTGCAGCTGAGCAGCAGCCCTGACCTAGCAAATGTCATCAAAGTGCAGGCAGGTTTTTTGTGATCAGGGTTGAAGCTGCACTGTTCTCAAAAAACAAAAGAGGTTCTTGTTTGAAAGGAAGCGGCTCCTGCAGCTGTAGATCAGATCAGGCAGATACAGAAGATGGAAACTATTGAGGTTTACTTTGACACAAAAAGAGAAAAAGAAGTGAGCTGCAGGTGAAGAGGAAGGCGAGCACAGCTTCTTCTTGCCCTATAACAGAGCCAGATTAAAGATGATAGGAGCCCCAAGGCTATTTGGGTTTGCACACAGTGGGGAGCTGACTCAGATTAAAAGACCCCTAGTTTGGCTTGTGTGGCTTCCTCTATGTATTTTTAACATCTGCTTAAATTGCCACCTGGTAGACTTCCACACTCCAAAGTATGTTACAGTTAACCCAAGACCTGTAAAGCATGCTGGTATGTTTTGCCTAGTTATTTCTTTCAACTGTCAGCAAGGCAGAACTGTTGCTTAGCACTTAGCACTGCTGCATGGAACATTCTGGCACACCAGTAGAGCATTGTGGGTAAAAAGTCACCTCTTGTCATGTCTGCCAGATGGGCTATGCCAGAAGGATTTGGGGGACCCTTGGCATTTTAGTGGCAGCTGGGCAGCAGTTGCCCACCGTTTTAATTTACTCAATCATACATTTTTTAGATCTATAAGGGCATTGCATTTTGGATACATTAAAAGGGCAGGGGACCACTACAAATGGGTGCCTTCAATCTCATTCAAAAGTGGCACCGGCCATCTCGAAAAGAGCCGTTCAGGTCAGTGAGAGGCAGTGCAGCTGGGGCTGGCTGCTGAGGGGCTCTTCTGACCCCCTGGAGCCATTAGCTAGTACCTGACTTGGTACTGGGCCTGTAGGCTGGTCATGCAATGAGGTGTTACCATCAGCATGCTGACACCATGCTTTCCTTTCTCTCTTTCCCCATAGGCAGAAGTGAAATTCCAAGGGAACTGGGGTATTTTTTTGGGTGGTGGTGGGAGTATCCAGCTTTCACCCCTCTTCTTCAACAGAGAGCAAGGCTGCTTGCTTTTCTCTCAAAATCTCCCCCTACTCACACAAAAACCTGACACAAAATAAATGCACAAACTCCAGCAGCAAATATTAGGAGGGTTTATTAAGAATACATCTAAAGAGAATAAAGGGAAAAGGCAAAGAAGGTGCTTAAAGAAAATAGCTTAAACTTTAATGAAAGAAGCAAGCTTATTTTCTGGAGTCATATACTCACACAATACAAGGGTCACCTCAATAGTAAACCCATGCAGCAACATTGATGGTGAGGAATGAGGGACCACACCATAGTTATGTCCTTCTATGTTGATGGGGTTCAGGGCTTCATGACTTTGAGTGATAGAGGCTGCAGGGAGGGACAACCTATGAGATGGAGTTGCAGGTAAGCAAGAAAGTAGAGTTATGACCTTTTTTGTAGGGCTAGAAGATGACATGATCAAGGTGTCAATGGCAAAGAGATGCAGCTACCAAAATATCAACTATTGCTGGAGTGATTTAGCTTCTCTGCTTGACAGCAGGGTTTTTCAGCTTCAGAGGAGGAGGGACAGATATGGTCTGTCTGCCTCTATGAAATGGAGGTTGAAGGAATGGTATGTTTTTAAAGAGACAGATGTGGGCAGGGTAGGTTTCCATGACAACCCCCCAGTTCAAATGTCATTTCAGCCACAAACTCACTTGGCAAAACTGGTCTTGTCTCAGTCTCATCTCCATTTTGTATCTGAGGAACCTATGCCCCAGTTGTGGCACTCCCTCCAAAAGCAGGTTGGGCTGGTGCCTTCTCTGTTGGCCTTGAGATGGGCAGGCAAACCATTTCATTTATATTCTACCCTCCTCAAGGTTGCCCCCCCAATTTTATCCTTACAACTTTTTGAAGCTGAAAGGTGGTGACAGGCCTGATGTCACCTGATGCGCTTCACGGTAGAGTGAGGATTTGAACCTAGATTTTCCCAGCCCTAGTCCAGCACTCAAACCACACCACCACAATGGCTTCCACTAGGACCATTTGTCCCATCACCACCTGCCTCTTCCCTACACCAGTTCTAATGCAAGTATCCCTTTGTAGTCTCATCCCCATTGACTATGGTGATGGTGTTTCTGTGCATGTCTAGATATCTATCTATATCTATAAAATATTCCAGTATGTTTGGGGGAAACTGCTCATCCACCTGCTATGTTCTTCTTTCCCTTGCCACTTCTATTGAGAACTTGGAATGCAATGTGCTGCAGGCCCATTTTACATTGGCTCCCAGCACAATTCAAAGTGTTGGTGCTAACCTTTAAAGCCCTAAACGTCCTCGGCCCAGTATACCTGAAGGAGCATCTCCACCCCCATCTTTCTGCCCGGATGCTGAGGTCCAGAGCCGAGGGCCTTCATGGTAGTGGCGCCTGCCCTGGGGAACACCCTCCCATCAAGGAAATAAACAACTATCTGACTTTTAGAAGACATCTGAAGGCAGCCCTGTTTAGGGAAGTTTTTAATGTTTGATGTTTTATTGTGTTTCTAATATTCAATTGGAACAGCCCAGAGTGGCTGGGGAAATCCAGCCAGATGGGTGGGGTATAAATAAATAATAATAATAATAATTGTTGTTACTATTATTATTATTAAACTGATTAATGAACACAGGAGCATAGGGAGGCTGCCTCATGCTGAACAGTCTAGGCAACAGCTCTCCATGAGTTTCTGGCAGGGGGCATACTCAGCCCCACCTGGATATTGGACATCCATCTAAATACAAAGCAGATGCTCTACCACTGAACCACTACAGCCCACATCCAACATGTGAAGTGCATACAATCCCAGAATTAATTAGATATGGGTGGGATTTAATGGATGGAAGGTATCTATACATGAACATTTGGGAGAGGTTGTGTGCCTTTAACAGGAGCTGCTTCTGTGTCTTCCCCCCAAACAGAGATGCAGCAATGAGGAAAGGTGCACATGAGGAGCTTCCCATCTTGTTGGATTAATAATTTCCAACACAGTCATGCGGAGATAATAAAATCTTGTTCTGTTTATTGTTACACAGGAAATTTGCTCAAGGAAAGGAAGAATTCAGCAGTTTTTCAAGTGACCAATGTAGGTCCTCAAGACTGAAGAGCAGATGAGAAGGAAGATGGAAAAACGTCAGAGAAGAAACATTGAGGATCCGCACTGAGAATGGCCTCCAGCTGCAAGCGGATAAGTTTCTTGACTGGAGGAAGAGCTAATGCTTCAATACTATCAGGAAGACACAGAGCCTCTCCACAGCTCCATCAGAGACCTATAAAAGAAAGGGATTCAAAGGTAGTAACCCAGCAAGATGATGATCATCAGCGCAGGATGCACCATCAACTCTGTGTGTACAGTGATATATGAAGCAAAGCAGAGCGATGTGCGGAAGGTTCTCAAATTTCCAAGTTAAATGGCACCATTAACAAGGCATCTTGAGCCAAAACAGATCCTGAAGCATTCTGTGGCTTGGGAAACGCTCAGAGTTCAAGAGGGGAAGGAATGCAGAGCTGGCAGAGGGATCTTTTGTTTTGATGGACAGGTTTTGGGGAGGGATTAAAAACAGTGCTTGTTTTGTTCCCATGGATCTACTAATTCTTCAATGCAAGTTAATAGAGAAATCTCCATTATACCCTAAAAAATTGGGGAGGGGAGTGTACCTCACATCAATGACCCTTGGGGTAATGGGATCCTTACTGGGATGACATTTTCCTTTGCTCCAATATTTCCTGTAAATTCATGTTCTTTCCCCCACTGCAGCTATCGTTCTGAAATTTGGCAGGCTATTTACTCCCTTAGAAGCTATGGCCACGCTTGCAATTTCCATCTAATTCTGGTAGAATCTGAAATTTTAATATACTTTTCCTTTGTTCCCCCCCCCTTTAAAAATCAAAATGTAAAGATGCCCTGCATGAAAACACCTGGATTTCTCCCGCCTACAATTTTGTAGGCTTAATCGACTCTGGAGGGGCCTCTATGCCTGAAAACTTTATCCATTTCTACAAAAAGGAAAACAAGTTATAGCTGTTTTTAACTTCCCCATTGTATTGGATGGGGAGTGGGAAACAAATTTAACAAATCTATTTGGGTCTCAAATAATTAATAAATTGGAATGACACAGAGTGGCTCCAAAACAGAACAGGCAGCTTCCCAAACCTACAGATACAAGCTGAATCTTGTGACCGATGCACACCCCTACTGTTTACATATATCCTGCCAAATTGTTCCAACTAAGTGGGTAGGGGCTTTCATTATATACTTTGGATGTTACCAGGGCCTCTGGATACATGAACAATGGTTCCCTGTGGCCAAGGAAGTTGTACCCTTCAGATTTCAGTAAGTAAAATGGGTCTCGTACCTGTTTTCTTCTTACAGGCTGTGTAGATTCCCAGAGCAGTACCATAGGCAAAGCTCTTAACCACCAGGAGCAGGAAAATGAGCTGCCCTGTATGAAGGCTGCTCTGAAACTCCAAGACAGTTGAGGCTGATGTGAGAGAAAATAGAGAGAGTCAGAGGCCCACTCACCTTCACCATGAAGGACATTTCAGACTGGCATTTTTAAAGCACACACTCAATAATAATAATAATAATAAGGGATAATAAGGGATGCGGGTGGCGCTAAGGGACGCGGGTGGCGCTGTGGGTAAAAACCTCAGCGCCTAGGGCTTGCCGATCGAAAGGGCGGCGGTTCGAATCCCCGCGGCGGGGTGCGCTCCCGTTGCTCGGTCCCAGCGCCTGCCAACCTAGCAGTTCGAAAGCACCCTCGGGTGCAAGTAGATAAATAGGGACCGCTTACTGGCGGGAAGGTAAACGGCGTTTCCGTGTGTTGTGCTGGCTCGCCAGATGCAGCTTTGTCACGCTGGCCACGTGACCGGAAGTGTCTCCGGACAGCGCTGGCCCTCGGCCTCTTAAGTGAGATGGGCGCACAACCCTAGAGTCTGTCAAGACTGGCCCGTATGGGCAGGGGTACCTTTACCTTTACCTTTAATAATAATAATAATAATAATTTATTATTTATACCCCACCCATCTGGCTGGGTTTCTCCAGCCACTCTGGGCAGCTCCCAACAGAATACTGAAAACACGATAAAACATCAAACATTAAAAGCTTCCCTAAACAGGGCTGCCTTCAGATGTCTTCTAAAAGTCTGATAGTTGTTTATTTCCTTGACATCTGATGGGAGGGCGTTCCACAGGGCGGACACCACAACCAAGAAGGCCATCTGCCTGGTTCCCTGTAACTTCACTTCTCACAGTGAGGGAACCGCCAGAAGGCCCTTGGCGCTGGACCTCAGTGTCTGGGCTGAACGATGGGGGTGGAGATGCTCCTTCAGGCATACTGGGCCGAGGCTGTTTAGAGCTTTAAAGGTCAGCACCAACACTTTGAATTGTGCTTGGAAACCTACTGGGAGCCAATGTAGGTCTTTCAAGACCGTGTTATATGGTCTCGTTGGCCACTCCCAGTCACCAGTCTAGCTGCCGCATTCTGGATTAGTGGTAGTTTCCAGTTCACCTTCAAAGGTAGCCCCACATAGAGCACATTGCAGTAGTCCAAGCGGGAAATAACTAGAGCCTGCACCACTCTGGCTGCAGTTTCCACCCTAGCATTCAAAAATGAAGTCTAGAACCTTATGGATACTTCATTTGTTTTTGTAAACTGTCCTGAAGGCTCTATTGAATTACATGGTATATATTTTAGATAAATAAATAGGATATATTAGGGCTGCCTGGCCCTGCCATTAGACAGAGTAGAACAGCTGCCTCAGACTGCTAATTTTGGATGTCATGAAAGGGCAGCAAACTGTTCATTTTTTAATTTATTATTGTTATGTTTGTACTTCAGGGAGAGTTGTTTGTAGGATTTTCTGCCTCAGTTTCCAGAACTAACCTTGGGCACTATGCATCTTGTGGGAAGGTATTCTTTCTACCAACACCTAGCATACAGTAAAGTTCGCAACCATTTAGGAGCGCTTCTAATTATATTTGGGAGAGGCAGAAATGCTGAACCCTTAGGGAAATCAGCCTCCAGTTGTGATAAAACTGTCTCCCAATCCCTCCCCACCTTTGTTTGCTTGTTTATCCATCAGGGTGACCATACACAAATCCAAATTAAGGCAACATCATAAAATTAAAAAAATTTAATCAGAAAACTAAAACAGCAAATAAAAACATCCCTGTTTTGACCATCTGCTCCTGAAGAAATGTTTGCTGCTTTCCCTTTAATCAGCCCTGTATTCTCAACCTTTGACCAGCAAGAGGAAGAGGGCACCTTCTTGCTACTTCCCCCATTATGTAGGATCTCCAACCTGGTACATGTAATTGCCTCCACCCTAGTCCTTGCTTACCTGGCTGCTGGCTCGGCTCCCTCTCCATCGACTCTTCAGCCTCTGTTATGTTCCCTTGTCTCACGTGACATGAGTACACGTGCCTCTCTTGCCACTCTGCAGCTGTCATGCTCAGGCGACTGGAAACCCCAAAGTTGCATGTGCCATTCAGGGTGCGGACGGGGTCAGTGGCGAAAGAGAGATGAGTCACCTCTTGCGCATCACGCTTCCAACTCACATCAATGGGCCATTCATAGGGAAAGCCCTGGGCCACACACACGAGTGTGACATGGTCCTTGTGGCACACTGGACCCAGAAGATGGACAGTCGGCTGTGAGCGTTGACAATTTTCATCTGCAAAGGGAGAAGATGTTTTCTTTGTTCCAAGAGGGCATGTAATAAACAGCAGGCCCAAGCCGATCAGCCCCGTGATAGGTGTGGGTGGCTGGGGAATGAGTGTGCCTGTTCAGTGAGGCCACCCTTGGTGCCTTAAAAGTCTCTATAATAAACTCACAGATAAGCACTTACTCCACATGACTTGATGCTGATTAATTATACCATTTTAATCAGCTTGGGAAACAAAACAAAAAAAGGTGGTTTAAAAAGGAGATTTAAAAGGTGCAATGGCAATCTTAATTCAAGTGCATTAGGCTTCAGTCCTATGCATGGAGGTCAGTTGTGATATTATCTGTTTCTTTCTGCTGTGCCTGCCTTTTAACACACATATACATTGTCTTACTCTATTTTAAAGACAATCAGACTTTTTAGCCTGGGTATGCACCATGCATTGGAAGCCCCCCCCCCCAAAGATCCTGGAAACTGTAGTTTACCCCTCAAGGAAGTATAATTCACAGTACCCTTAAATTACAGTTCCTAGGATTGTTTGGGGCGTTTTTTGGGGTGCTTTAAGTGTATGGTATGTACATAGCCTAAGTCAGGGGGTTGCTTCCCAAGCATGTGCATGTAGATACACAATTATTGTTACTGCATAATCACTTTCTATGGGAAAATGGTACTTATTGCCAGCTGTGCTGCAGCAACAAAACCTACTTTATTCCTGTAATGTTGGTGGTGCTATACAGGCAAGTTTAAAATGTGAAACTGCACATGGTCTGAGTAGTTCTATTTTAACCACAGTATTTTCTTTTTCTTTGGGTTTCCCTCTAACCTATCAGGAATGTTGTAAATCATGGGCGGCTGAAGAGAAGTGTACATTGTGTGCATCACAACTGCAGCACATGGCTGTGGGGAGCCCATAAGACCAAATTAAGTTTAAAATAATAAAGCATTACTGGTTTGAAACAATTTGCTCAGCTGACTCTCAATATCCCCGCTCTCAGGATCCGGAGGAAATCTCACCATACTAACAGAAACCAGCAGGTATACCTCCCACCTGGCTTCTCTTCCCCGTTCCAGCTAATGGATCTCTTTCTGAAGATTCTAGTCCTCGTGGATGCCGAGAAAGAGCTTATTTGTTCTGGAGCTTAAGCTTTCATTGGCTCCCATGATGAAGGTAGTAAACTTTGGCTTTGTTAGTGGACTGCAATCTTCGCTCCCGCCCCCCGCTCGCCCCGCGAGTGGTGGTAGTGCTGCTCAGGGAACTTTCTTGTATCCGGGAATTTTCTCTCTCTACTGGATCCACTTTTTGTGCCCCGAGCATTTGGACTCTGACCTGGCTAAACACTCCCTGATGGGCTGTCGCTGTTTGGGGATGGTTAGGATCTCCACCCCAGCCCCGAGCCCCAAATATTTATTTAGAGCCGTTGCAAGGCAGAAAATGCAGACATCCATTCCTCCACTCCAGCCATTTGGAGCGAACTGGAAACTCTTTTCGATATTTTAACCCCCATCCCACGTGCCTTTTCTTTTTAAGGAGAGCTGGGACTTGAGACAGTGGCTGGATCTGGGCTCCCTCGCTGGCGATCTGTGGGGTTTTTTTAGCAGGATTGAGAAAGGAGGCAGGAGCAGAGTGACTAGGGCGGGGGGAGGATTCGATTTTGTGCCTTGGGTGGGAAAAAAGCCGATCTGGCTCGAAGGGACTGTCATGACTCCCCCCCCCCCACCTAAATAAACTTCCCACCCCAATTGCTGCCCATCTGGATCTTCTGCCGCCGCCCCACCCGTCGAAGAGACCGAATCAGCCTTGTTCTAATGGGAAATAATGAAAACGGGGTGGCCGGTGGGGTGGCCGTGGAGGTGAGAGCCCCCTCCCCGCTTTCCCCCCACCCTGAAGGTGGACGCGAGCGCCTTTCGACTGACCTTCGACTATGAGCTGCGTCCCAGTATCCGCGAAGTAAGCTTGCTCACACAGCACTGCCGCCTCACGGGCCCCCCTTGCAAAATCTTCCCGGCTGCTCCCGGCCCTCCGGGACGGCTCCTTCCTCGCCCTCCGGCCCTCCTTGCTCTCCGACGGCGAAGCGTCCTTTGGGGCGGCGCTTCAAGCCAAAGGCGGCCAGGGAGCAGCCGGACGAGGGCTGCCCAAGCCCCTCGGGGCCGTCCAGTGCCGTGGAGGGCTGCGAACGCATCTCGCTCGAGAGGGAGACCCTCTAGACCTCTCCGGAGCACCTCGATCTGTCACGATGGCCCCACAGCGGGTTTTTTCTCTGGGGGCAGCCGCTTGGGTTTGCTGCCCATTCCCTGACCCCTCCATCGCCTCCTCCAGGCTCCCGTCGAGTATTGGGCGCGGCGTGTATCATCGTGGCGCTGTTGACACAGCGGGACGCGATCGCACAAAAACTCTCTCCCAGCTCTCTCGGCAGCCTGCTCCCTCCCGTCCGGTCCCTCGAAAACCAGAGGCACTTGAGGCGGCTCACTCTAGTGTCCTGCTGGACCAGACCTGGCGATGATCCCCACTTGCGCCCCCGCCACCTCCTTCTCGTTTCTCCAATCGTCTGTCTTCCAGCCAGCTGGGAACGCTCCGGATTGAACAGCCGCCCCTCGCCTCGGCGTTCCTGATCCCAGATTGATACCGATCTGGAGGCAGCTCCCTTCTATTTCTGCTAGGAGATCAGTCAAGTCCCACTCCGCCCAGCCGAGTAGCCAGCCGCCCTTCTTTCCGCAGCCCTGAAGGCGCCGTGCAGCAACTGCTCCTTCGCTCGTGGCTGCAGAACACCGCTCTCTTGCAGGGAGGGGAGAGGGAGTCTCTTCTCAACTTACTTCTCCAGCAAGAATCTGCTCCCTGCTCAAACCTTTCTGCCTCCCATTCGAAAGATCGCTCGGCTGAGTGTCCATCTGCACTTAAAGTTGCGTCTTAGGACCTCTTTATAGCTGAGAGTGAGCCCTACTGAACACAACTTACTTCTGAGTAAATGTGTGCAGAAATGCATATATTCGGGAAGCACTCTTGAAGCCCCAAGTAGAGTTGCCAACTTTACTTTTACTGATCTTACTCTTGTGTCTTTAGCCGCTGCAGCTGACTTGACACTCAAAAGCATTAAGAGGACGGCGCTTTCCTCAGTCCCATTCTGTTTGCATCCTACTGGCTCCGATTTCAATAGGACTTGCTTGGCAGCTTGATTCCATGTGGAGTTAAGTACATCTGAACTCCCTGGTTACACCCTTTTGGAACCAAACAAAGGATATGTGTAGTGAAACAGCTGGCAAAGAAAGAGTTAAGTGTCTATAACCCTGTTTTAATAAGCAATACAACACAAACTCCAGGGATTATTCCAGGGAGGAAAGGGTTAATTATCTTCTTCCTTGTGTCCAGCCCCCCTTTTTTCCTTGTTTTTGTTTTGCTAGACCCTTCAAGGAACCCAAGTTTTCATTTTTCTTAGGGCAGAAGGTTTTTGTAAAGGCACTCCCTGAGATTGCATCACAGTGACCCCCTGTATAGCACAGTGGTAGAATACTTTGCAGAAACTCTAGAATCTGGTCATGTTCCCTCTGAAGGTAGTTCCCTTAGATTCAGTGGACCTCACTCCTATAAGTAAGCACAGAGGTACCCCTTCCTTTTTGCAGTTCTCCATGGCAGGACTCCTGTACCTCAAACAGATTCACAACAGACAGGGATTTATCAGCCGCCTCTTTAAAAGGCAGTGTGTCTCAAGAGAGAGAACTGGCAAAACCTAGTGCAGTCTTTCTTAATCGGGTGCCTTCCAGATATTTAGGATTACAATTCACATTAGCCCTAGTCAGCCTTAATAAATTTCCAAACATAGATATTTGGGCTGGGCAGCATGAATGAGACTGAAGAGCTGCAAAGAGAGTCCTGCCAATTCATGGGATCCTCTAGTTAACTGAGCTGTAATTTCTGTGAGCCACCCTGAGATCTACAAATGAAGGTTGGTATTCACATTTTATAATAAATAATTTCCTTGACCCCCCCCTTTTAACATTTTGCTGTTAAAGTTCCGTTTGTGAACTGCTGAGAGTTTTCTTCTGAAATGTGAAGTGGTGGCAAACACACCAGAGATAAAACATCTGGATGCAATTCCAATACAGATGGAAACTGGGAAACCTCTCTAATTAAAAGGCTTGCTGAAAAAGGAATTTCATTAGAAGCTGCCAAAAAGACAACAGAGGTGGCACCTGCCTGATATCAAACAGGAGAGAGCTTCCATCACAAGGAAAGTCTGATCCCTCTGTGGTGTGGAATGGACCTCCTGCTAACATGGGATCTGCAAGAGGCCTTTACTTTCTGAGCCCAGGGATCAGTTGGATAGATAAGGGCTGAGATGATCAGCTCCAGCAAGAAAATTAGCAGCATTATAAAGAACAATGTGTGTGAGGCAGGAGAGGGTTTGTTAGGGTGGCAGAACCAACAGGATTGTCCATTGTAACACTCAGCCATATGAAGACACATGGGTCTCCACATGAGATATTTGATCCACCACTGTTCTCTCTCTCTCTCTCTCTCTCTCTCTCTCTCTCTCTGTGTGTGTGTGTGTGAGAGAGAGAGATTAATTGTACAGAGCTGGCCAGTGGACACTGAGTATACAAGATGCCTTGCTAATAATATGTGGAAAGTAATGTCCCTAATGTACAGAGAGGACGTGTTTCTCAGCAGCACATGGAGAGACGTATTATTGTTTGGTTTTATGACAGCTCCTGGTGCTGCTACAATCACTGTGTCCCTAGAAGCACAGAGATATTGCCCTGAGTCAGTAAGTTGGAGGCCTTTTAGGTACAAATATACTTTTGTGCCAACCCGTTTGCCACTCAGACGACTGTTCAGATCGTTTTTTGGAATCTCCTCCAATTTGTCTGCAGCAGAGTAAACAGTCCCAAGGTGCTCTAGATTAATCTCTCCAGGGAGTTGGCGGTACCAGTAGTAATGATAGGTATTTTGATGGACATCGCAGCTCAGCTCCAGGGTCTCGCCTTGCCATTTGTTGGCCAGTGGTGGGTGCTGGGTCACTTCCACTCCAGAGGTGCTGGTTACTAGACCTAGGAGGAGAGAAATGATGTCTTGTCAGTGAGAGATGATCATCAGGTACTGAGGCAACCTGAAGCAAGGGGAGACAATAAGGGCACTAACTGTCTTGGAAGTGGCACCTGAAAATTAGCTGAGGGTCCAAATGTGCGCTTGCCCTCACATCCCCAGGTACTTACCACCCTGCAGGGTCCAGAGGGAGAAGAGCAAGTGTTGGAAGAGCCCACAGCGGGACTGAGGCAGCCCTGCCGCCATCTCGTCCTTGAAGCAACTGCTGGTGGGAGGAAAACGGATGCTGCTGGTTTCCTCTCTCTCTCTCTCTCTCTCTCTCTCTCTCGTGAAGAGGATTTAAAGGGAGACCTTTTCTCTTTATTTAGCTTCTATCTTCCATTCAAAGGCAGCTGGGCACAAATAATGAGCAAGATGTCATCTATTAAACCACTGATTCACACCAATTCATTAATGGTAAAACTGTTTTTATATATTTAAATAACTATGATCTATGGCTGCCCCTCAAGGTGTGACCAGCTCTTTCAACTTCTGCATGTGACTGGCAAGAAGCGAAGGAAGCTTTGCCCTTCATTGAAACTCCCATACCAGAAAAAGGCAGCTTGTTTGCTGCTCATCCAGCTGTTAAAGGAGCATTATGGTTCCTCTGGGCTTCAGAGAGGGAGAAGCCATGGACGGTGGCCCATTGGAGTGAATGGGGCATAGTGTCCTGTCTGCCCTCAGCCTGCCCTCACTTGCCTGCTTCTTTACTTACAGCCAGTTCACGTAGCATTACTGGCTGTACACATCCACCCACCCTCACCCACACCCTCAGTGTTGCATTTGAGAGCAGAGAGATAGAATCATAGAATTGTAGAGTCGGAAGGGAACCCGAGAGCCGTCTGGTACAACTCCCTGCAATGCAGGAATCTCAATACAGTTACCCTCTCTTGCAGCAAGAAGAAAATGAGCAGAAACATCAACAAGGATCTGTGCGAGGAGCTGAATTGTTGGGGAGGCAGAAGTATCAGGATTGCACCCTGTGATTCACACATGTGCGGGGTGGATCTCTGAATCAGGGGTTTTGGACTGCTTGTGTTAGCTGTTCTTGTGTCAGAGAGAGAGAGAGAGAAGGAAAGAGACTGACAGACCCACAGACAGTGACTATTTGAACAGAGCTCCTTGTGGGCCCTGAATATACACGATGCCTGTTTGTACAGTGGTACCTCAGGTTACATATGCTTCAGGTTACAGACTCTGCTAACCCAGAAATAGTGCTTCAGGTTAAGAACTTTGCTTCAGGATGAGAACAGAAATTGTGCTCTGGCGGCGTGGCGGCAGCAGGAGGCCCCATTAGCTAAAGTGGTGCTTCAGGTTAAGAATAGTTTCAGGTTAAGTATGGACCTCTGGAACGAATTAAGTACTTAACCTGAGGTACCACTGTAGTGGGAAATGTGCCACTAATTTATAGAGATGACATGTTTCTTAGCAGCACACGAAGAAGTGTAATATTGTTTGGTAGTCAGTTTTGTGACAGCTCCTGAGGTTGCTACAGTCACTGTGTCCTTTGAAGCACAGAGATACAGCCCTGTGTCGTTAAGCTGGAGGTCTTTCAGGTACAAAGTTGTTTCATTGTCTTTCCGTTTGCCACTCAGCCGACTATCGAGGCTACTTTTTGTGTCGTCCTTTAAATCGCTACTATAGGTGCTGAACGTCCCAAAGTATTGTAGCTTTGGCTCTCCAGGTTGCTGGCGGTACCAATAGAAAAACCAGTTTACTTGGTTGACGCCACAGCTCAGCTCCAGGGTCTCACCCTGCCGTTTGCTGACCACTGATGGGTGCTGGGTCACTTTCACTCCAGGGTTGCTGGTAACTAGGCCTAAGAAGAGAGAAATTATATTCCATCAATGAATAATAGTTGATCACCAGGGACTGTGGACACCCTGAACAAAAGGAAGACAGTCAGTGGACTAGCCCTGTCCTGGAAGTGGTTTTTAAATAACAGGTCAGTGTGTTCAAATGTGCCCTTGGCCTCACATCCCCAGGTACTTACCACCCTGCAGGGCCCAGAGGGAGAAGAGCAGGTGTTGGAAGAGCCCACAGCGGGACTGAGGCAGCCCTGCCGCCATCTCAACCTTGAAGCAACTGCCAGTGGGAGGAAAACGGATGCTGCTGGCTCTCTCTCTCTCTCTCTCTCTCTCTCTCTCTCTCTCTCTCCCTCTCCCTCTCCCTCTCCTAAAGGAGGACACCAATGGCAGATTTGATTTGTGTGTGTTTATGTTTAGTTTCTATTTTCCATTCAAAGGGAGCTTGGCACAGATCATGAGTAAAAGTTATCTGTTCAATCAGCAATTTACACCATTGCATCAATTTTGAAACTATTTTGATATATTTAAGAAACTGCTCCATGTCCAGATTATAAATATAGTTCAGTGTTAATGAGCTCCAGAAATCTCTTCATTAGGAAACACCTGAAGTATGAAACTGGATCTGAATTCAGTTATGATTTTTGTGAATTTTAAAATCAACTTAGCCTTGACTGGGGGAATGTGAGCCAAGTGAAAGTGTGGTTAACAACAACAACAACAACAACAAAACAACAATTTATTTATACCCCACCCATCTGGCTGGGTTTCCCCAGCCACTCTTGTCAGCTTCCAACAAAATATTAAAAATACAATAAAACATCAGACATTAAAAACTTCCCTAAACAGGGCTGCCTTCAGATATCTTCTAAAAGTCAGATAGTTGTTCATTGACATCTGATGGGAGGGTGTTCCACAGGGAGAGCGCCACTACCGAGAAGGCCCTCTGCCTGGTTCCCTGCACCCTCACTTCTCATATTATTTTATTATTTATACCCTGCACATCTGACTGGGTTGCCCCAGCCACTCTGGACAGCTTCAAACATATAACATAATAAACATTTAACTTTTTTTATTTAAAAAACTCTCCTATACAGGGCTGCCTTCAGATGTCTTCTAAAAGTTGTATAGTTAACTTATCTTTTTGGCTTGGTGGGCCACATAACTCCATACCTTCGGATAAAAATAGGGACACCCTAAGGAAAAGCGGGACATTCCAGGATCAAATCGGAAACTGGGAAGGAGCATTATGACTCCTGTAGGCTTCAGACAGTGGGAGAGAAGCAGTGGAAGGTGGTCCATTAGGGTAAATGGGGCACAGTGACTCACCAACTTCAGTCTGCCCTTAGCCAGCCCTCACTTGCCTTCCTTCCTACTTACAACCAATCCGAGGGGTGTCTGGCTATCAGCTTCCCCCTCCTTAGTCTCACCCAGTGTACACCCTCCTGTTTCCTCTGCATCCAGTGCACTCCCAACACTGGTCTTATAAGCAGTGTACACACAAGGATAGTCACTATCCATATTTTTCCTGTATCCGTCCTGTTGTTTCTTATGAAATACTGTGTTTGGTGCATTCCCCGCTCCCCTGCAACCAGCTTTGATCTGCGCTGAGAAAAAGAACGACCTGGCTGCATATTAAGTTGGTAATGTGTGCACATCCTCAGTGTTTCCTTTGTAGAAAGCAGCAGGGAAGAGGACGGGGGACAAAGCTAGACAAATTTCCACCTGTCATTGCCTCTGTCTCTGTTGCCCTCTCTGCCTTACGCCTTGACAGACCCAGTGGGCACCAACCACCACTGGAGACAAGCAGGGACTAGAGAAGTCTGTTTGTAGCAAGAAAATGAAATATCAGTAAGGATCTGTGTGAAGTGTGGGGTTATTGGGGTGGCAGATGCAGCACAATTGTGCCTCAGGCACATGAAGAAATTTGGGTTGTGGGTCTCCCCATTAAGGCCTTTGAACTGCTCCTGTTGGCTCTCTAGGTGTGAGAAACAGACAGAGACAATTTGGACAGAGCTGGACAGTGGGCCCCCAGGACACAACATGCCTTAATGGCATCCCCTCATACACAGAGAGGATGTGTTTCTCAGCAGCATGTTGAGAAACGTACTGTTGTTTGGTAGTCAGTTTTGTGACAGCTCCTGGGGCTGCCACAGTCACTGTGTCCTTTGAAGCACAGAGATACAGCCCTGTGTCATTAAGCTGGAGGCCTTCGAGAATCAAATTTGCTGTTCTGCCATCACGTTTGCCACTCAGACGACTATTTATTTCGCCACCTGGTTTCTCCTCCAATGTGTCCCCCTCTCCCGACGTAAATGGTTTGATAACCCCAAGTTGCTTTAGGTTTGTGTGTCCAGGGCGTTGCTGGTACCAGTAGAACTGATAGTTGTCTACATCAACGTTGCAGCTCAGCTTCACAGTTTCACCCTCTGGTTTGTTGGCCAGTGGTGGGTGCTGGGTCACTTTTACTCCAGAGACGCTGGTTCGGAGGCCTAGGAGGAGAGAAACGATGTCCTGTCAATTAGTAAGAGATCACCAGGGACTGTTGGACACCTTGAATCAAAGGGGAGACAGTCCTGGAAGTGGCATATGAAGATTAGCTGAGGGTCCAAATGTGCGCTTGCCCTCACATCCCCAGGTACTTACCACCCTGCAGGGCCCAGAGGGAGAAGAGCAGGTGGTGGAAGAGCCCACAGTGGGACTGAGGCAGCCCTGCCGCCATCTCAGCCTTGAAGCAACTGCCAGTGGGAGGAAAACGGATGCCAGTGGTTTCCTTCTCTCTCTCTCTCTCTCTCTCTCTCTCTCTCTCTCTCCTCCCTACTCTCTCTCTCTCTCTCTCTCTCTCTCTCTCTCTCTCTGTGTGTGTGTGTGTATAAAATAAGGGGGGCAATGACAAGTCATTTTTAGGTTTAGTTTCTTGTTTTCATTTAAGTGCTCTCTTGATACAAATACAGTGGTACCTCTGGTTACGTACTTAATTCGTTCCGGAGGTCTGTTCTTAACCTGAAACTGTTCTTAACCTGAAGCACCACTTTAGCTAATGGGGCCTCCAGCTGCTGCCGCACTGCAAAGTTCTTAACCTGAGGTAATATTTCTGCGTTAGCGGAGTCTGTAACCTGAAGTGTATGTAACCTGAAGCGTATGTAACCCAAGGTACCACTGTAAAGAATTTACAACTCACTACAGTTCAATTAGCATTGTTCTGTAATAGTAACATTATTCTCTAACACATGTGGTGAAGGTGTTCCTCCCTATGTGAGGGTCTGCATTCTCACAGGAATGCAAGTTAAAGATGTAGGGGATCTTTTATATGTTGGGACACTGGGCCTCCCAGAGTACTAGCAGCTTATGTAGAGAAAAAAAGGAAGCCAGAGACAAGAATCCTCAACGCAACAGGCAGAGGAAGGAATCTAAAACATTTTACTTAGAGCGTTGTATGCAAGCCAGCCTCTTAGTCGCCTCTCTGCCTAACCTCCCTCACAGGGTTGTTGTGAGGATTAAATGAGAATCGGGAGAACCAAGGACTCCACCTTGGAGAAAATGGTGGGACCTAAATGCAATTAATAAATAAAATAAAGCGATAAACATTATCAATCATATGCAAGAGTGTTTTGAACAGACACCCGATGCCTTTCTAGTTGTGTGTGTGGCAAAGGAAAGTGTGGAAGGAGACAAATAAAACAGCATTAGAATTCAGTTCTGGTGGTAAGTTTGCAAAGGAGGGTGTCCCTGTGATAATCTGGATGGCGAAGGAAGCAACATTTTTGGGTGCACAATGATAGAGGTTTGAGAGCAGAGAGCACAAGGCGAGTTGCAAATTTTGTGCCGTGTTCAGAGCTCCTTTCTGCATAGGTTTGATGCCTGGTTCTTGCAGCAGGACTGTGTTATATTTGTGTATTTAACACACAGCACGGGCCCAAAGGCGACAGAAACTACTGGGTGCATTTTTGTGTCGCTGGAGCAAAAGGAAATCATGTGTTTGGTGAGGACATGCAACATTTCCCATCCCTTTCATGGCAACTGGCGGATCATTTCAAAACTCTGTATGCAGTGAAAGCTGGTCTATTAGGGCAGATGGGGCTCTGCTCCACCAACCTCAGTCTGCCCTCAGAGTTGCTCCACCTATCTGCCTTCTTACTTATAACCAGTCCAGAGGGTGGCGTCGTCTGTCAACTTATTTCTGCTCAGTCTCTCTGTTGCCTTACAAAACTCAGCAGGGAGGAGGATGGGGAAATAACTAAAATTAATTTGCTCTGCCAGTCATTGGCTCCTGTCACTGGCTCTTGCTCCACCTACTGTTGGCCTCCATCCCTTTACCTCCACCAGTCCTAATGGACATCAGCCACCACTGCATATGCCGGTGACAGTATATGGGGCAGTTGATGGTTTGTTCAGCCCCAGCATGAGAGGGCAATTGAATTAACCACCATGCCTTCTAAAAAGAAAAAAAGAAGAAAAAGATCAGGCTGATGATCACAGTGAACAGCTCTGTGAACGGGAAAGCTGGGGGTCATGCCAGCAGACCCAATGGACTTCTAGAAGGTAGGGGAAAGCCTCTGCCTGGTAATGGGGATGGGCAGAAGTGAAAGGAGGAGCCTGATCTAGACTGGAACCTTAGTAAAGATGGAAGGGAAACCCCTCATGTGCTTTAATCCCTTTAAATCAGTAGGACTAGTTAACCATGACTAGAGTGGTTGGGAAAATCCAGAGTGGTTGGGGAAATCCAGCCAGATGGGTGGGGTATTAATAATAATAATAATAATAATAATAATAATAATGCAGGCACTGTGGATTTCAGTGGGACTAACACACAGCACAGGCAGATTTAGGGGAGCACAACTGGTTGGCCTGCACTGGGCGCTGAGCCACAGGGGCACCGTGACAATGATGAACAACGGCAGGTGAGAGGTGGGGTACCCAATTCTGGCATTGCACAGGGCATTGTTGAAATTTTACAGCCCAAAGTCTGCCACTGTGCACCACTTATTTAGTCCGGTTCCAATGCAACACATCTGATTGCTAAATTACTCTTCAAGTGAAAAAGTAGTTCTGACTGTCAGATCCTCGGTGCATTCACTAGAAAGTTGTTTCTGTTCATCTGAGGGAACTTACAAATGTGCTCAGTTAGTCTCCTTCAAGTAGACCTTTCTAATATACAGAGTGAGTCTGACTCAATTAACTGGAATTCAGTGCTAGCTAAGTAGAATTGAGCTGTATTGTCCCATCGAAACAACAGGAGCAACGGTTTGTTGTGACTAACTTCAGCTGGTTCAGGGCTAATAGGTTTGATCTATCAAAGCTTTGCTTGCTGATTAAAATTCCTCCAGACTACCAGCAGGAAGATGCCTGGCATGAGAACCCTGCTGCTGGAGAGGCAATACAGATGTGTGGCTGTCTCCTCTGTGCCAGATGTTAAAGGCAAAACATAAGGATGACTTTTCCTAACAGTTTGCATCCTACCCTAGCAGATGCTTTGCACTCTGTGTGGGTTTTTTTTTAATAAAAAAAAACATGCTAACAAACTCCTGTCAATAAGAAGCACAGGCAGCTGAAAGTGACAGCATTAGTGATATATATATATATATATATATATATATATATATATATATATAGTAGGTTGAAATACATGTCAACACATATTTTAAAACAAGTATTTCCATAATAGTGATGGAAGTTGAATATGTTCATTTTTGAAGCCCTTTTGCACGTTGCTATAATAGGAAAATTCTGTTTTCCCAAAATTGAGGAAGACAATATATTTTTAAATGGCTTTTCCTTTTCTGGCAATGAGCAGAAGGCATATTAAATTTGAGCAAGTTTCCTGGCGCTTAAGAAACTGCCACTTTCAATCTGTATCCTCGGAAAATGCACCTTAGTTGAGATTTATATATATATATATTGCAATAAGTGTATGCATATTTCATAGGATACACAGTTAAATTCCAGATAGCATTTTTCTGTGTTAGTTGACAACCTTAAGAGAGAGCTTTCCTTCCCGGCAACAAATCCAGACTAATTTGAAAAATATGGCAGGGAAGACAGATGTGGGAGCTTCAAAGCACAGTATGAGATTCCCAGCTGGAAGGGTCTCTAGTAAGCAGACTCACTGTTCTGCAGGTGGGATTCAGCTGCAAATTATCGCGTGCAAGTGGATTTGGCACTCTTGCATAATAACAAACTTGCTTCTTCCCCCCACCCCAAGACAACCAGACTTTCTGAGATAAGTAAAGTGATGGGGGAATCCACTAGAAAGTATGGGGTAACAATTGTTTGACAACCTGTTGTATAACCTCCTCACAAACAAATCTGGATGAATGCTCAATAAACAGGCCTCTGGAAGTGACTGATGCAAAGGGTCAGTTGCCCTGCTTTAAGAGGTGTAGCTCCTGTCCTGATGTCAACAAAGGGAGCTAGAGCCCCCTCCATTCTCAAGGCTTTACCGACCTGTAAAAGCTTTACCCGGCTGTCTCGACTGACATGGAAAGCCCTGTGTAAGAACAGGCTGAACCCCCTGTCACTTAGGATAGGAGATGGTCAGCGAGACAACATTGAGAGCCTCTGTGGTGCATGGATTATCAGTCGTAGTATCAACATTGTGGGGTTTTGGGTGAAAGGGGTGTGATGTTTACATGGCATGCTCTGGCGCCACCCTTAGACTGGTTCTATATTTGTTTTGCCCGTTAATGACTTAAGGGGGTGAGTGGGTGCTGTTTCGATTAGTTTCATGGTTCTAAAAGGGTAATAGGAAATAAGTCCCTATTTTGGTTTGAGATCTGTGTGGCTATGTAGGGCTGGTGGGGGTTGGCGGGGTGAGGACGGGTGTGTGTGTACTTAGGGTAAGATTGTAAGGGTGTATTGGGCAGGTCTGTAGGAAGGGTGAGGGAGGGGAAAGGTAGTGGGTATTGAAGGTAGGTATTGAGTGTATAGGTATGGGTGGGAGGGGTCGGTGGATAGGTGTGGGAGGAGTGAGGGGATTATTTGGGCTTATCCACTGTATATTTTTGTTGTTGTAATCTTTATGTAATCTTTGAAACTTGGGTGACTGAGTGGTTTATAAATAAGTGAAATAAATGAATAAACCCATCTGTGTGTGTCCTGCTTTAAGTGCCTGTTCGCGATATGGACTTCTGTTTTATTTGAGAGCAATTGGGTGAACCAAAAGATAAGGCTTGCACCTTTTCTGTTGGTGGTTGTGGCTGGGCTTGTCATATGTCCTCTTTTCCATGGGTATGTAAAATGAGAGTCATAGTTAAAAGTAGAAGCCGGCAAATATGTCCTCTTTTTTGCTCTTCCAAATATGGCAACCCTATTTAGTCACCTGACTGTTGCCCCTGAGCACAGAGTTGCACTGAGTTTCCCTTCCTTTGATCTCCTTCTGCTATGAGGGTTAAAACAATGACAACAATGGTGATGGCATGTCCCTGGGCTCTCCTCAGCACAAACATATAACTATAATAATAACAACAACTCTCTCTCTCCCTGTGTCACCTTGTAAATGAACCTTCTTCAGCTTCATGGGGAAAGGGGAAGGAAGGAGCTTGTGGCTGCCATTCATTTTTTCATCTTTCTCTCCAGCTGAAGCCCAGACATGGGAGGCTGGGAGCCTCAATGGTGCCCCTCTAGAAGCTTCACCCGGGGCAGGAACCCTGGCTAAACTACGCCACCCCTTCCAGCCACAGCTCTGTAAGATTCATAAAGTCCAGAGTCTAGAATTACCCCTTACACCTTTGCATCCATTCCACACCCTTGTAGTGGACTGTTAAGAATACCATATACTTTTCCAACAGCATTTTAGTAGGTTTTGAACCCTTGTTATTCCAGTTCCTAGTACAAAGCACTACAGTGGTAGCCTATACTTTTTTGTGGATGAGCCACTTGCCATGCTTGCATGGAGAAAGTCTCAGGAGGCTTTCCTCTGACATGAACTCAATTAATCTCTAAACCCATTGCAATGCAGTGTGTGGTACTAATTCTGCACTGGTGGAAGGGTTGCTTTCAGTGCCGGCCCTGCGTGAGCGAGGCTGCGTGCACTGAGCTGCCTTGTGTGTCCCCGAGGCAGATGATGGCACCAGCATGCCCACTAGTTGTGGGAAGTGATACTGTATGTACATGATATTGGGCATGTGCCAGCAGCACAAGGGAGGAGCTGGGGCTGTTTGACGCTGGCGCTCAGTTTTGCAGCAGCAGCAGTTCCTGTCTGTCTCACCGTGTCCCTTACAGCACACAGATACAGCCCTGTGTCACTAGGCTGAAGACCTTGAAGAACAAGACTCATGTTCTTCCCCTTCTCCAGCCATTTCCCATTCAGCCAGTCCTTTGGGTTGTGATCAGAGATCTCCTGCAGCTGATCACCATGATAATACAAGGTCCCAATGGGCTGTAGCTCCTTCTTCCCGGGCAGCTGGTGATACCAGAAGAAATGGTAGTTGCTGCTGCTGCCAGAAAGTGAGCATTTGAATTCCTGTCTCCCCCCTTGGGAGGAGCTGGCAAAGGGTGGTTCCTGGGTCACCTTCACTGTGGCTCCACCACTCAGTAAAGCTGAGGAGAAGAAAATGAGAAAATCAGGGAGGGAATGTGAGAGAGCTGTCCCTGGGGAGAGACTGCGGATTAACAGAGGCAAAGGAGCTCAGCCAGAGAAGTGCCACTGCATAGCGCTGTTTATTCCATATTTCAATGAACAGGGATATCTAAGCCCAACTTACCACACCACAGAGCAATGAGGAAGAGGAGTTTAGTGGATTCTTGGTAGCACTGAGTTGGGGCTGAAGCCATGTCAGTCTGGGGTCGAGAGAGAAATTGGCAAGAACCTGGAAGCCACTTCACTTCCTGTCATGGGTGCAGGTGTTCATGACAGGATGTCCTGCCCACACAGAGGCAGGGTAATACTGCTTTCTGTTGGGTTCTGAGCTGAGCAAGAAGCTTAGAGCAGATCCTAATCCACCATCAAAACCACCTCAAAATGTCGTGATAGAATGAGCAAGCTTCTGCAATTCTCCAGAATTCTTCATCAAGCTGGGGGTTCGAAGTGGGTGGGAAGAAATGGGTGACTTGATGCCAAAGCTAACAGAGTTTACATGGAAGCCACAGACTTGAAGTGGAACATGGGAGGCAATTGTAGGCTTCATTAGATTCGGCTCCATGTCTTCAACATCGCCAGCATCCCCCCCCCCCCAACGTTTCACAGTGCTTTTTCTCTAGAAAAATAGGTGCCGGTACTCACCATGGAGTTGTCGCAGTAAGTGCCACACTTTTTAACAACAAAAAAAGAGTACTGCTTACCCTGAAATAAAAGCACTGGTGTTTCACATCCAGCTGGATGAAGAGCTCTAGAGGACTCAAATGTTTGCTCACTGTTTCATGACATTTCAGCAGGGACCAACGACTGGTTTTTGTAAGCAGCTGTGAAAGCATTCTTGGCTAAGGGGTGAATTCGTAATGCTTTCGATGAATAAATAAGTCATAACACTTTCTTTGGGGTCACCGTCTTAATCTCCTGCTGCAAAAACAATCCAGGATCCTTAAAAACAAACAAAATCATTCTAGCATGAGCTATCATGGACTCAACTCCAGTTTCATTAGATGCACCTAGAAATGCAAAGGTTCAGTGTGCCCCACAAATTTTCTGAATTCCCCCATTAATTTCTGCAAAATGGGGGGGGGACCACCTGCCCCCACTTTTCAGTTTCCCTCCAGGCCTTTGCATCTCTAGATGCACTTGAATAAAGGCACCCCCTGTATGTAGATTTTGTGCCCAGCATGGCTTCATTTCTTTGTTGAGCAGAGATGGGATTTCAGTGGACAGTCTCAGCACAGAGCTCTTTTTATCTTCTTCTTCCCCTGTGTTTCTGATTCCTCCCAAGGAAGCCGGTGAATTGTGGTGGTTTGGCTGCACCTGCTTCTGGGCTATAAATAGTTTCAAAGAGGATGCCGTTCTCCATTCCAGGTGCTTTTCCGAAACCTTTGACCCCAGAGTGAGGGCTGCATGTTTTCTTCCCTGCTTCTCCCTTCACGCTGCATTTTTAGTCCTTAGGATTGCAAAGGCATGCATGAAAATGTGTGGGCAGTGCCTGTGAAATGTCAGATATCCCTGGGGAACAGAGCAGGAACTACAGTACTCAAGGCATTAGTGTGTTGCACAGCTTCTCATCTCTCCTTGGCGGGCAAAAGCAGAAAAAGAAGGCAAAATCACAAGACTCCTTGTCTGAAACTCTGGAGAGCCTCTGCTAATCAGTGTAGATGGTACTGAACTAGATGGACAAATTTTGCTTGTGTTCATAATTGTGTGTTCCTAATTTTGCTTGATTTCCATAATTTCACGGCTTGGAATAATCCAGCGATCCTTGGTGTAGAATGTTGCCTTGGCCCAGCCTTGACCCACAAAACCAACAACTGATCCAACCTTGATTTGTTTTATTTATGGCTGTGAGGTTTTGAACCCAGGCCTTCCAGGTCTAATGCATTAGCAGTATAGTATGAGGCATACCTTTTATTAGGGGCATATGCTATATGAGGCAGTAGATAAGTTAGCTTAGAAGTGAGGGAGCCCAGATCAAATGTCATGCAGTCATGCAGCCGCCTTCATGATCTCCAAGCTCAAGAATGAAATGAACTTTGTCACTGTATAATTTCTGCAAGCATTACTGAAATTAATTAGTTGTCGAGTTATTGGTGAATCCTTCCCATTTCTGTCTTGTTTGTTTAGCACAAACATAATTAGGGTTTTTGGTTTTTTGGGGTCACTGAATCATGTTTCCACATTTTTATCCAGCCGTTCTTCAGTAGTTTGGGTCTTTTTCATTTATCACCATTAATTAGTGTATGTATGTGGTTCTAACAGTGGTGATTATATAGAAGATCAATTCTCCATCTCTAATAGGTACAGTTTGTCTCTCTTTCTGACATTTCCAACAAGTTGGCTGTGGTTCTTATTTATTTTAAACATAATTAAAGGGGTGCAATAGAAACTAGATAGCATTTTTGTAGCGTTTCTCTCTAAGGTCCACAGGAAAACGTGTGAGAGAGATTTCCCACTGTTGCAAATGTTTTATCTTCTCTTGCTTGCTCAAATTCACACATATTTTTGCAATATTTCATAAATATTTAAAAGAATGTACTTTTCGTATGAATTTTATATGGCAGTCATGGTTTAAAATGGTTTCTTCCCTGAACAGTGTGATATTTTTAAAATGTACATCTGATCTTAGGAAAGTGTTTAAGAAAGACCTAATCTAAAAATATTTAAATAGGGAAGGGGGCAGCATTCAAACGAGCATTTCCCCCCTCACTTTCTCTACACAGCAAACATGGGGGTGGTCCTCCATTTGTTGCTAGACTACAACTTTTACCATCCCTGACCATTGGTTCTGCTGGCCAGGACTGATGAGAGTTGGAGTCCAACAACATCTGGAGAAGTTCTGAACTTCTTCTCTATAGGACAATAACCTATGACACTTAAGACAAGCACCCCTCTCCCTCCCTGGCAGTAAATGTCCAATAAAACTAAATTAAATAGCAAACAGCCCTTTTGTGAGTTCTTCAGGCCCCTGCCTTACCCTGTCTAACAACAGGACTGGGCCTGGCACCAAGGCTGGAATAATGTTTAAACACACAGCCTTCAGCTCCACTGTGATCAGTTTCCAGTTCCAACTGCTTGGTTGCTAGCACTTTTCTGGGAGTGGGGAATTGTATATTCTACGGGGGGTGGGGGTGGGGAAGTGCGAATATCTCCTGCCATCTGGCTCCTGCATGTAATTATTCATATATCTCCCTTTTTAAAAAAACAACAACGCAATAAAGATTTAGAAAAGCATCTGAAATCCAGAAAACAGTTTGTATTCTCCATGATCACCCTTTACCTGCAACAGCTAACTAGCTTGGTTATCAATAATGAAAAAAGTTCAAAAAGCACGTGTGTACTGTTGATGGACTGAAGTGCAATGGAAAATAATTTCCTACCTGCATTTTTTGTTTCAGAGGTAGTGAGTAATGAAGTGAGCGAGGAGCTATCAAGGGAGGTGATATGAGTGAATTGGCCTGGAATGTGGGGCCCAGCAGACACCTGGAAGATAACAGTGTCAGTGAGAACAGCCTCTCCATGTGCCACGTGACTGAGTCTTTGCATTGAGCTGGCTGCTGTGTGTGTGGCATAGATCAGCCTTTTGCAACCTGGTGCCCTCTGGATCATGTTGGACTCAGGCTCATATCAGCCCTAGCCAGCAGGCCCAACAATCAGGGATAATGTGGGCTGTAGTTCAAAAAAGCGTCTGGAGGGTGCCAGGTTGGGGGACCCTGGTGCAGATTATGGCATCAGTGTACACAGATTGTGGGAAGTAATGTTGCGCACATCTGACATCAGGACTGTTCCTCTGCACAGCTCCTTGCGCTGTGTGTCCCTGATGCAGATGATGGCACCAGTATGCCCACTGGTTGTGGGAAGTGAGACTGCACTTATGAGATATTGGAAGTGTGCCAGCAGCACGAGGAAGGAGCTGGGGCTGTTTGATGCTGGCACTCGGTTTTGCACCAGCCGCAGTTCCTGCCTGTTTCACAGTGTCCCTTACAGCACACAGATACAGCCCTGTGTCACTAGGCTGAGGACCTTGAAGCTCAAGACTCATTCTCTTTCCCTTCTCCAGCCAATTCCCACTCAGCCACTCCTCTGACTCAGTCAGCTTCTCGTTGTACTCAAAGAGGCTCCCGATATGCTGTAGCTCTTTCTTCCCAGGCAGCTGGCGATACCAGAAGAAATTGTAGGGCGAGCTTTCTGAATGTGAGCAGTTGAGTGTCTGGCGCCCCTTTTGCAACATGCTGGCGAAGAGAGGCTCCTGGGTGACCTTCACTTTAGCTCCAATGCCCAACAAAGCTAAATGGAGAGAAAGGGCAAAATCAGGTGGGGCTGTGGAAGAAAATCCCTGGAGAGAGACTGTGGATTCACTGAGCCAAGGGAGGTTAAGTAAGAAAAGGCACCAGTTCCAGACACACTGGAGGATATAGGGGTCCCCAAGGATGGCAATGGCCAAGGCCACCACCCTGAGTTTGAGAGTCAGGCCCATGCTCACATGAAAACACTCACCACACCAAATGATTACAAGGAAAGTGAGGGAGCAGAGTTTAAAGAAGCCATGGGAGAACTGAGCTGGTGCTGCAGCCATGTCAGTCTGGGGCTGCAACAGCAGCTGGAAAGAAACCGGAAGCTGCTCCATTTCCTGCAATGGTTGATGCTGGGTGGAGGGGGGCGGGGTTGGGCAGGATGTGCTGCCCCCACAGCGACAGGGTGGGACTCTTTCCTATTGGGTGAGGAGTTAAGCAAAAAGACTAGTGCAGAGCCTGAGCTGAGACACAAGTGCCACCAACAGGCAATACCTTAGGAAGCCTAATCAAAATGGCATGATAGAATGAGCAAGCTTCTCACACAGGCCATTACCACACTTTATGTTCCCTTTAATCCTGGGCTGCAGGGTGGGGGTCAGGCAGATTGGCTGAGGTTGCCTCACTGTGTCTAATGGTAGGGCCGGCCCTGGATACTCTGAGTGCCTCCTTTGCAAAGGCTTTGCCCTTTCACTGACACGCGCTGCCTTCCTCTGCGGCACCTGCTGCTGCTGCTGCTGCTTGTGGTTTTGAGGCTAATTCATGACACCCTCCAGCACTTACCGTTCTCTTCGCTGACATCTCAGCCCTCACTTCCTCTCGCTGCTCTGCGGTTTGACTTGTTCCTGCAAGTCGGTGGAAAAGAAGTCCGATTCTAGGCATGTTGACTCAGGTGAAAGCCCTAATTGTATGCAAAGTCCCCAAATCTCTATGGCTCCTGGGTGGGTGCAGAGAAGGGCGAGGTGTAACCAAGGCTTTGAAGATGTTGGCCAGAACAGCCCTCTCAACCACTAGGGGTTGGGGAGATTGGCTCCTGCCAGAGGCACACAAATCACGTATCAGACTATGGTGTGCAGGACACATATGCGTGTGGTGACATGTTGCCACTGTTGTGGCGAAATCAAACGTGGGAGAAGCTTCCCATCCTTCTCATGCCAATTTTTTTGCCCTTCCTCCTCGCCTTCTCTTCTCACTGCAGTCACTTTGAGTACCTGAGTTGTGTAAAATGTAGTACAGTGGTACCTCAGGTTAAGTACTTAATTCGTTCCGTTCTTAACCTGAAACTGTTCTTAACCTGAAGCACCACTTTAGCTAATGGGGCCTCCTGCTGCCACTGCACCGCCGGAGCACGATTTCTGTTCTCATCCTGAAGCAAAGTTCTTAACCTGAAGCATTATTTCTGGGTTAGCGGAGTCTGTAACCTGAAGCGTATGTAACCTGAGGTACCACTGTAATTTCTAAGTTGGCTATTGTGATAAAGTGCTTATTTGAGAGAGAGAGGGGGAGAGAGGGGAGAAGGTTCAAATTCCATGCTCAGCTCAAAGTTTGCACTATATTGCACTCTAACCTTCTGATACAGAAGAAGAAGAGGAGTTTGGATTTGATATCCCGCTTTATCACTACCCAAAGGAGTCTCAAAGTGGCTAACATTCTCCTTTCCCTTCCTCCCCCACAACAAACACTCTGTGAGGTGAGTGAGGCTGAGAGACTTCAGAGAAGTGTGACTAGTCCAAGGTCACCCAGCAGCTGCATGTGGAGGAGCGGAGACGTGAACCCAGTTCACCAGATTACTAGTCCACCGCTCTTAACCACCACACCACGCTGGCTCTCAGCTCCTTGCCAAGGGCACAAGGGCACACAGAGATATGCCTCTGCCCCCCTCTGACATTTCCCTTTTTGTTTTCCTGTTAGTTTCTTCAAGGATTAAAAAGGATCTAGTTGTTAACATTTTGCATAGGTGAATGGTGTGTGGATTCATTTTGCCATGTTTGGAATCTCTGCCATCATCAGTTTCCTGGATCCTTCCCATTGGGAAACAAATAGCTCTTCTTCTGGACAAATAAAATGAAATTCCTTGTGGGCAGAAAATGAATCCATTCCCAGCTCCTTCCTTACAGTATGGTTCACACTCTTCTTCATTATACTTTTCTCCCATGGTGGCTGCCCTCGTTTTTTAAAAATACGGGGCTGAATGAGGCCTTCAAGTACAGCGAATAGTCAGGGAATACCTGATGCTGCAGTGATTCTAAAGTTAAGTAGGTGTGGATCCTTGGATGGGAGACGATTTCAATCCCATGCAAGAGGAGAGTGTGATATTTTTGGAAGCTGATGTGGTCCAGTAGTTAGAGGGCTATGATCTGGGGGACTAGGCGGGGCAAATCATACAATTTAAGTATATTAAAAGCACATTCCCCACCCCAAAGAATCCTGGGAACTATAGTTGGTTAAGGGTGCTGGGAACTGTAGCTATTTGAGGGTTAAACAACAGTTCCTATGAGTCTTGATGTGTGTGTGCTTTAAATGTGTGGTGCATACACAACCCTAGCTTCAAATCGATGCTCAGCTCAAAGCTTGCATGGTGATCTTGCACTCTAACCTTCCATAAAAAAGGTTATTATTGTGAAGGTAAAAAGACCTATGTGTGCACTTGCCTTGAGCAACTGGAATCCAGTCTGGGATAAATATGCAATAAATATAAACTGATTAAGCCCCTTCCCCGCTCCACCCTTTGATGAGCTAAGCTGCTAGTTCTATTCTCCTCCTGTCTCCCTGCCAGCTGTCCCCTCCCCAGCCCCCAGCATTAACAGGGTGGAGGGAGATGCTCTCAAAACATTTTAGTGGTGAGTATATATTATTGCTCCTTTGGCTAATCAATGCCCTGACTACCAGAGCGAGCAATCAAGATTTAAAGACGTTCAAGGAGATGGGCCAGCCATTAAGACATATGAGTCACTATGAAGTGCATATTGAAACCGGTGCTAAGATGGGCTGCTTCAAATCCCTCTGCAGTACTGTTGAATGAGAATATATTTTACCAGGGTGAATTATGTAGAACCAATGGAGGGCTTTATTGAATACATAACCAGAGAACAACAGCCTCCGGCCCAGAGACTCAGATCAGGCCAAAGTTACAAGGCAGGATCTCAATGCAGCAAAGAGCAACTACGGATTGAATCGGGGGTGGGAGGGAGAAGGGGGAGCTAAATTAAAACCAAACATTGCCTTATAAACCATCTCTGAAATAAAAGGAGAAAATGTGTCTGTATTGGGGGAGGGCCGCCATAAAAAGAATTTTTAAAAAACACCAGGAAAATATTAATCATGAATTTTAGAGGTGTCAGGTGTGGCCTCATGCTATGAATCAACCTGGCACAGGATCAGGAAGGAGCAGAGAGGGGAAAGGGTGGAAGATCCCTGACCACACTGTCTTAAGTAGGTCACACTTCTTCCGGGAAGATCTGCCCTTTTCTTAGCATGGAGCTGCAGAAAGGGAAACAGCTGTTTCTCTGCACTTGATGCAGACTGCGTGACTTTGCTTTGCTATGTGGAAGTTCTGCCCACGAGGGTTACATACCTGGGGTGGTTCGTTCGCACATGCAGCTGCTGATGCTGCAGTTGGCAAGTGATCGTGATGAGTGAGCATGTGTGAATCAGCCCAAGGTCAGCGGATCCCACAGCAACGAGAGATGGGCCTCCCTAGGGAAGCAGGGGCGGTTGCCAAAGAGGCCCACACTTCCTCCTGACTCCTCTCTATGAGTGTCTTGGCTAGACGAGGAGGCAGAGGGCCAACGCATTAGTGCTATAAAGGAGATTGCATCCTTCATCCCTTCTGTTTATTATTAGTGCTAGGGTATCCCAGAAGCCATCATTTATTTCTCAAGAGCCTCCTGTAGGAATTTCAACAAGTGCAGTCATTTCATGCAGGCTGCCCGTTCTCCCACCAACCCACGCACCCTGCCCTCACTCCCCCTGATTCATAGGTCTGCTTGATGCTGGGTTCAGGCAAAAGTGCCCACTGCAAAAAAAACCTGCCTGCCATCATTGCCTGTGCCCATTGCCCTAAGGGAGGGGCAAGTATGGGTGCTCTTGCCTGTGGGAGGCTCCAAATGCCATGGTATTAGCAGCCCTAAAATAGAATGCAACCCAAGACCATTGCCTGGAGCCATCTTCTGTTAGAAGCTGAACTTTCGCAGTCATGGCTTCAGGTTCTTATAATGCTCCCTAAGTGGAGTCCTGCTGGATCAGACCAAAGGTCCATCAGCTGCGATCTCCATGCTCACAGTGGTGAACCAGATGCCCATGGGAAGCCCAGAACACGAGAGCAACAGCGCTCTCCCGACCTTTGAATCTCATGACTAGTAGCCATAGACAGCTTCGTCCTCCATTGATTTATCTAATCCTCTTTTAAAGCCACCCAAGGCAGTGGCGGTCACTGCTTGAGAGCCAGTGTGGTGTAGTGGTTAGACTAGGGTTCAAATCCACACTGGACCACAAAGCTCACTGGGTGACCTTGAGCCGGTTTTGGCCTCTCATCCCTAACCTACCTCACAGGGGTGTTGTGGGGGAGGCGGGGGAGAACCATGTACGCCTCCTTGAGCTCCTTGGAGGGAAAGGCTATAAATCAGGCATGGCCAAACTCGGCCCTCCAGCTGTTTTGGGACTACAACTCCCATCACCCCAGCTAACAGGACCAGTGGTCGGGGATGATGGAAATTGTAGTCCCAAAACAGCTGGAGGGCCAAATTTGGCCATGCCTGCCATACATACATACATACATACATACTTGTGGGACCAAATTCCATAGTTTAACTATATGCCAAGTGAAGAAGCATTTTCTTTCATCTGTCCTGTATCTTCAAACCTTCAGTTTCGTTGGTTCGTCCTGAACTCTAATATGATAAGGCAGAGAGAAGAAAAACTTGTGTCTATCTGTTTTCTCCACACCAGCGAGTGAGAACCACCAGAAGATAAGGAATAAGACTTAAGGAAGGGCAGTGAGGATGTTGAGCCAGGGACTGACATGAGAGAGAGAGAGGGTGTTGTCGCTAGCAAAAGAGGCCCTGTTGTGGCATTAAGAAATGGCAGACCTTGGCAAGATGGCAGAAGAGGGACCGTCAGACCCAGATGCTCCAGGATATTGTGGCTGAAGCAGGAACGAAGCATCATTTCAATTCTTCATGTGCGCAGAGCAGCAAGTTGCTTAACGGCGCTTAAGCCATGCCTTGGCAGAGTTTGGTGCGTTTGACGGTGCAGTGGAAAGTTACGTCCAGCAGGTGGCACTGCAGAACTATGTCACTCTCCTCCGGAGGCAGCAAGCAAGGGACGCAGCGCCCAGTCAAGAGGTGAGATAGGGGATGGGTGAGAGGGTGGGGTGGGGGGATACAGAGACCCCGCCCCGCGTAAAACGGGGGGGGGGGGCGGACTGTCGCAGCCAACATAGCTCACATCCAGCTCTCATTCATTTATTAAAGCATTTTCTCCTTCAAGAGATGGAATGCATAATTTAGCGACGGCAACGTGTGCAGAAATGAAGTATTAGTAATTTAACATTTCAATGTTAGATGGGATGCAGAAACATGGAATGCCGCAGGTACACCCCACCCCACCCCACTTAGTATTTAGCCCTTCGTAGGTGCTCTCTGTATGGAGAGGCACTCACCGCGACACCTGGGGTGAAGAGATGCTTATCAAGTTGTCGAAAGTCCGCATTACAGTATTTTCGCAAGAAGTGCCCCTTAGTTACAAGGACCAAGCAAGGAAGTCTTGACTTCGTCAGTAACCAGGAGTTTTTCATGCGCTTCTACAACTTCGTGGCTACCAAAAACACTAAGATGATCAATCAATCAGTAGTCTTTCCCAAAGACTTTGGACTATTTTCCCATTTGCCTATCTGCTCTCCCTCCTGTGAGACATGAGTTCAGTGATGAGTTCAGTGGTGTTATTATTAGCCCCCTTTGGCCCGTTGAGCTGTCGAGGAGACCAGCCCCACAGTCTGATCTGCTGTCCCAGGTCTGTCGCCTGCACCACACGTCTGGTTTACCAAGAGGAGGCTGCCATGCTAGCCCCCAACCACTACTGGAACATGGTCCGAAGCTGAAGCCAAAGGACCATTGGCCCATCCACCTCCCTGAAGCCCGCCTGATGATGCTGGACTCCCCCCAGCCCTGGCCAACATGGCCAACGGACAGGGATGACGGGAGCTGGAGTCCTGCCGCATCCGCAGAACCAAAGCTTCTCCATCCCTGGTCCAGCAACCCCTAGGCAGGAGTCTCTTCGGACCCTGCCTGGAAATGCCGGGGACTGAACCTGAGACCTTCTGCGTGCAAAGCCGATGCTCTCCCCACGGAGCTACGACTCTTCGCACCTGTGCTGCGATCCTTGTGGGTTGTAAGGAACCACATAGATCAGAAACTGGGCCCCCAATAGCCACGATTCCTACTGTGGAACAAGGCTATGGGTGTCAACTTCTAGCAGGGCTCCTGCGCTTTGGGAGCACCCTGAAAGCAGAAACGAAGCCGGTGAATGCCAGGCTTAGTTTGCTACATTTCTTCACGCCAGGCTGCTGTTAAAAGGGCAGGATCAGGGAGAAAGAAAGAAAGAAAGAAAGCCAAATGATCGAGGGCTGACAAAAGAGTGGATTCCCCCTCCTCTTATAATGCATTATTATCTATATGGCAATGCTAATGCATTCAAATGCACGCGCGCACACAAGTAGTGAATAGATGATAGATGATAGATAGATAGATAGATGTAGGTAGGTATTAGTGGTTTTAAAGACATTTAACAGGGGATGGGGGAGGGAGTTGCTAGCGGTTAATTAATCTGGAATAAAAGAGTGTAACTATCTTTCCACCACATATAAAATACTTCATCTTGGGGACTTGGGATTCATTAGTCCGAATAACTACCATCTGCTCGTTTTCTGTTCACAATAGAAGAATGCCTGGGCGTATTGTGTGGGGTGGAGATCCACTCCATAAGGATCTCTTGATCGGAGGTACAATGCAATGGATACAGTGGGGTGGCGCTGAGTGTGCCCTAAAGAGAATAGCCCTTAGGCAAGGCTAGCAGCGCAGTGTACAAACAACTCCGCAGGCGTTTCCGGGGGGGTCAGGTCAGCCCTGCCGGTTCCTCTCTCTGCCCACCCCCACCTCCGAGCCATTCCTATATACTGTATAGGAAGGGAACGTAGAGAGGAAGCATTTTGGACTTTCTTCCTGCGTTTAATTCAAGGTTCAAAGAAACTTCATGCAAACTGAGGCCAGTCGAGATTATATATATCCCTCCCGCACCCGAAGCCTTTTCAGTGCTTCCCAACAGGCAGTCGCTCAACAGGTGCAGCTTTCTGGCCAACCCCTCCCAGCTTTACTTCTTGAACTTCTGCCTGCCGATTAGCTCTTAAAGGCACAAGAGCCGTGAGAAACGCAGGAGAGGGGAGTATCTGATGACCATTCACCACTCTCCTCTCCCCCCCACCCCCCGCCACAAATATGCTTCGAGATAATAATAATAATCCCGGGGCGCGGGGGAAGGCAGCAGCGATGAGCAAACCGAGGGGCTGAGAACGGGAAAACAACGTGTTTTTTGCTGCTTAACAGGGAACAGATGGCGCGAAAGGGCTGCATCTCCTCCTGCGGGGGCCGGGATTAGGGGGGGGGCGATGGATGGATGGAAGTGGGGGCCCAGCAGAGACAAGCACCAGGAAGGATTAAACCCCTCATCTCCCGATGGAGAGATAGCAGGAAGGGCGGGTTCTCTTTCAGGCCCCGCCCCCGCCCTCCTCTCGCCCCGCCCCTTTCATTCATGGAGGGAGCGGGCCAGGAGGAAGCCGGAGAATCCCCTGGAGCTTCGGCTTTCTCTATCTTCGTATTACAGTACAAGCAGGTCCCAAAAAAGGCTGGAGAGTGCGCGCGCGAAGCGCTCATCAGCCCCTCTTTCCATCCAGGGGAGGGGCGCGAAGCCCTCGGGACGCGCGTCTCCGGGGCGCATGCAGAGTACATTTCGATCCGCGGCACTAAACCGCCGCCCATTCGGGAACACGGACTTCCCGAGCGCGGGGGCGTCGGTTCCAGGAAGGCGAGGAAAGGCGGGCCGCTCCCTCTTTCCTTTAAAACAGCAAGAGCAGCAGCGAGGAGTCCTGCCCTGAGCAGAACAGCACACGCCGATCCTGGCTGGCCCGGCGCCTTCTTCCTCGTCAGGAAGACCCCCTTCGTCGCCTGCCGCGTGGTGCCAGGATCGCCACGCACAGCAAACCCCACCCCGTCTCTCTGGGCAGAGGTGCCAACTTGAATAAAATGGCGGGGGGGGAGAGAATCGATCACATGGCACGCACACTATTTGAATGGCAGGGCCCATCAACTTGAGAGGGCCCAAAGGGACATTGGCTCCTGTGCCTCTGGGTGTCTCGCTTTCTTGGCGCAGAGCATCCGGTGGTCAGGTTTTCAAGGCCATAAAGTCTTGAAAGCAAAGGCTGCAGCGTTGGAGGCCCATGCATAGTCCCATTGCTAAGACTATGGAACATGGCCCTGATGATGATGGGCGTGCATTGTTTCTTTCAAAAATCCGAGTTGTTCCACCCCGTCCTTTCTCCAAAAAATGCAAGAATGGCACACAGTGTTTTCCCCTCCCTTCTTCTCCCCTTTGAACCTCACACCAACCCTGCAAGGTAGGGCCAGGCTGAGAGACAGTGACTGGTCCAAGGTCACCCAGTGAGGATTTTCACCCTCATTGCCCCGCTTTTGTTCTGACGGTCTCTAACCACTATTAGGCATTACAGGAGGAGCTTCGGAGACAGAATCGCTTGAGATGTCAACAAGCCCCACACCTTTAGTGGAAAACAGCTTTTTTTATAATAATGAAACACCAAAATGAAGTTTTAAAAAGGAAATCTATTTTTGTTGTTATTACACTGGCAAAATGCCCTTCATGATGACATGACAGGTGCCGTGTGTGGAAAGAGAGATGGTAGTTTGAATTCAGTAGGACTTGAGTTGGCATGGCTAGAATAATTGTGCTGTAAGCTAAACCGCAGCCCCTCTTGGTCACAATGCAGTGTGACAGGTATGAGGGGACTGGGCTTTCATATTGCTTTAGAAACACTTGTAACTCATTCTCAAACAAATATCTGCATGAGAAGTTTGAAATTTTGAGGAGCAAAATAATCTTCTCCTTGACCTCCTCCTAAACCTCATTTCCAGTTCCAAAGAAAACAATGAACATTCATTTTGAAGTAAAGGAAAACATTTCAGTGTATCACACTTACAGGAGACAAAAGTAATAGTGCAGTATGAAAATTGTTCTTCAGACAATCTGTCTGAAATGAGGGGTAAGGAGCTCCAGGCCATTAAAATTTCAAAATAGATTAGGTTTGCAAAAAATAAAACAGAAAGGAGACCATAAGTAGCAGAAGAAAAAGGTGGCTGTGAACAGACAAATGCTTCGGTTTCCAATACTGTGACAAAATGTTAATTGCATTTTCCAAAATGTCCTATGAGCAAGAAAATCACAGGGGATGTTGCCTAGAGACAGAATATTTAAAAAAACGATCGTTCTGGAAATCTGGGTGCCCTAACATTGCTCTCTTGAATGACTCCAACCAAGGATCACCTTTCTCCTCCCTGCACCTCTGTTTTCCTATCTGCATAATTGAGATAATGGGTACAATCCCAAATCATTAAAAGTAATGATGCCATGGCCTTCAAATCCAAGGAAGTGAGGGCTAAACCATTTCACCTCTCTACTGTGAATTGTTCAATACATATGGATGCATGGAGCTAGTTTTAAAAAAGAAAAGAAAACCCTACAGGTTAATCTCCGTTACACATTTTAAAAGATGGCATTCCATCTTTTAACACAGTTCCCTAGGGATAATAGGCAAATCAAAATGGTGAATACGGTATTGGCCAATAGATAGCACCTTGCTTATCAGAGCAAAAGGTTATGACCCTTTAAGAAATGAAGCAATACCAAAGCAAAGCTGTCTCTCTATCCTGCCTTTCTTCCTGCAAAGTAATACACAATGCAATCCTATACAGACCTCCAGCTGGTGGGCCAGAACTGATCCATGGGGGTCTTTTTATCCAGGTCTACCTCCCTTCCTGTTCCTCCCTGTGCATAATGGGAGGCTGCCATTAGAGCCAATGGAAGTTCAAACCGAACTGCCACATCAAGGAGCATTTTCAAGGAGAGGGTAGTTTGCTGCATACATGTCTACTCAGAAGTAAGCCCTTATTAAGTTAAATGGTGCTTACTTCCAGGAAAGTGTGCACGGGAATGCAGCCTTATTAGCCTTCATACAGACTTTTCTCACAATGAGGAAGGTTGCTACTTGCATTTTTTTTTCAAATATGAAACCTTGGGCATGAGGAACTGACACATCCTCCACCATAAAGCCTCTGTCCATGTGAAGAAGGCTGTGGCAGGACTTACCGGTAACCGAGTTGATGATTAAGCTTCCATACGGCACCTGAATTGCGTCACACCACATATGGTTAACTGCCCTGTGGTTACTTTTGTCAAGTTTGGACCCTTAAGAAAATCTATTTGGAGGAGGAGGAGGAGAAAGTGACCTGTCCCAAGTTCAGCCAGTGAATCCAGAATCCAGCCAGGCTATGATGGATCCACTTCTCTCGGGCCTCGTGACTTTCTGGATCCTACGCTGCTAGCCATTATAATGTTTATTATAATTATATGTAAGGGAAAGGGTTAATCCTTGGCACTGGAGCATTCGGGAGTGGGAGGGAAGGAGCTGGTTGCCACTTACTCATGACTGCAAATTCCAGGGAACGTGTTTCATGTTCTGGGGATCGCAAATAGAAAGGGGAAAACGTGTTAATTAAGACAGAATACAGATGAGGGGGGAAGGGAGAGAGGAAAAGGAGGAAAAAAGGAAAGGTGAAGTGGAAGAAGGGGGGTGCAGAGCAGGGAAGGCCCAAGGATTTTTGCACCGCTGCTTTGGGGGAAATATACCTACCCAAAGGTGCAGATGCGGGAAGCGTTAACCCAAGAGATGTTGGCTCCTGAAGCATAAAATCCAAAGGGTATCTCCTATCTAGGTTACAGCGGGGACGGGTGCCCCAAGGCCAGAAGGCAGCGCGGCCAGAAGCCGGTGGAGTCAGAAGCCGTGGCAGGCGGAACCGATTCATTCCAGTTTTGTTCCCAACCTCGACGCTGCTGACGTCCACCAGGGCAACACTGAGAGGGAGGATGGTGACAACCTGGGACGCAGCATGGCCTGGCAGTCTCTAGCGCCACCTACCGTTGGCCTCCCTGCCTTCCGCCCTACCAGCCACCGGGGAAGGTGTCATCCTGTCTCGCGCGCCCCATTCACACCGCACTGCAGCCGGACGGGAAGGACAATGGCCTCCCGCCCCACACCCAATCTAGGCTGAATCCCAACGAGTTTCTCTTTTGCTAGGGAGGAAAAAGTCCAGTGCTGTTGCATTCCCTTCCTCCGTCCGCGAATTTCTCAGCCAACTGCCTCCTGGTCCTGCTCCCCAGGTGCTGTTCCTGCTCTCTCTCGCCCCCTCTCCTCCCCGCCGCAGGTCAAGAGCTGAAGGGCATGGTGGGGAAGCGAGGCCAAAGGAGTAAGAACGGTAGCTGCTCCTTTCTAAATGGCCCTGGGAAGCAAGCCGGAGAGAAGGGTCCCCTTGACCCTGTCGAAGGTTTTCACCGCCCCCCTCCCGATCTACTGTGCCAGCCGCCCTGCCTCTCCCTTGCCCTGTCCGCCCTGGCGCAGCGCTGTGCTGAGAGGCAGGTGCGCGGGCGAGGACGCTGAGAGGACATCGGCCAGGCCGCTGGCGGAGCAGATCTGGGCAGGATGATAAAAGAGGGAGCGTCTCTGGGGACAGGGAGAGGGCTGATTCCGGAGGTCACAAACTGCGAGGGAGGGGAAGGAGCGCAAGGGTTAAACACAGCTCTTGACGCACGTGACCAGGGGCTTGTGAATGAGTTAACTCATTAACTTTTTTTTTTTAACCTCCCCTTTTGCACCCTCGCCCAATCTGAATGAGAAAAAGGGCGCCGTTCCTCTTTCGGCTCCTGCTGATGAGGCAGTGCTGTCAGGAGGCGCAATGCTGCGCTAATCTGAATGGTTCGATCTGGATTAATTAATCCGGAGTGGTCTCTCGTCGTCGCTCGTCACAATCAATAAATACGGATTAGCGGAGTTTGTTCTCTGGGGGAGACAGAAAAGAGCCCAGCAGCGCCCCAAATGCTGGGGAATGTCTGGTGGTGGCGAAAACGGAGGTGGCGAGAGAGGCAGAGCCAGAAAGCGGGAGCCGCAGATATGGCAAACAAAAGAGCTGCCTCTTAATTTGGAGAGTCACGTGGCGGGGAGATGGGCGCGGTGGGCGAGGACTGTCGGAGAAAGGCCCTTTCCTGGAGAGAACTTTCTTGGGCAAGGATCAACCAGGGACGAGGGCGAGGAGGAGGATGGGAAGATGACCTCTCTCTCGGGTTTCGGAAGGTCTGACGGGGCAGGAGGCATTAAACATTCATGGCGGTAACTGGAGTGCCCCCCACCGATTCCCCCCCCCCGGCTCTCATTGTCTGCCGGCTGATAACTGAGCCGCTATCGCGTTGCATCGGTCGCAAGGCAAAGAATGGGCACTGCCAGTCACGGGAGGGAGACCGGAGAGCTTCCAGCCGACAGTGCCCAGCCAGTGCCCAATCAAAGCGCCAGACCAAGACGGCACAAAACAAGCGCTCTCTCAATGCCCGGCTAGGGTTGCAGTATCAAACTTCAGCTGATCGGGCTGGAGGCTGGGAAATGCTTTCCAGGGAGAGGGAAGGAAAAGAGACGGGGGAACCGTGCTGCACAACACAGCGCCTCTGCACTTTGGAGATAGGCAAGGAGCGGGTGTGTGTGTTTGCAGCACAGAGGGCGTGTCTCGGCGCTACAGCTCTCCCCACCGCACCCCCACGAGAATCCTGGGAAGTGTAGTTGAATGCTGAGAATTCTGTTTGGAATTGCCAGACCCCACCCACAGGGCTGCAGTTCTCAAGGCTCTCTGGGGTAAAGAGTGGCTACCAAGCCAGTACAGTGGTACCTCGGGTTACATACGTTTCAGGTTACATACAGAAATAGTACCTCGGGTTAAGAACTTTGCTTCAGGATGAGAACAGAAATCGTGCTCCGGCGGCAGCAGGAGGCCCCATTAGCTAAAGTGGTGCTTCAGGTTAAGAACAGTTTCAGGTTAAGAACAGACCTCCAGAACGAATTAAATAGGTAACCAGAGGTACCACTTGTATGTATATTATGGTGTAGATATGCCCATTGAGTTGAAAGGAAGCAATTACATATTCCGGCACTTTATGCGGAGGCAGGGACGGCTTTCCAGATCACACAGACCAGAGCACAGTGTGTAAGGCGATCATGCATCTTGATAGGGCAACTGCCTATCAGTCTAAGGCCAATTTAAGAATGAAGAACCTTTAGAAGGGAGAGTGATGCAGTGGGGGGCCTTGAAATTCTCCATCACAGTTAGCATCTGCACAGGTCACCTGGTCACAGCCTTCTTCACTGGAATCATAGAGTTGGAAGGGATCTTGAGGGTCATTCTGCAATGCAGAAATATGCAGCTGTCCCATACGGGGGTTGAACCTGTAAGCTTGGCATTATCAACACCACACTCTAACCAACTGACCTATCCAGGCTGAGATGTGTTCCTATTTCAATTATAGCAATGATTTCTAAATGTATCACTATTTTCAGGTGATACTCATTCACATACTGTACTGGCAAATTCAGGTTGTGCAATTAAAGCTGATTTGGGGCTGGACTTTTCGTAATAAGGAAAGTGCCCTGGAAAGTTTGGGGTAACTCTCGCTTGACACAACCTAGTCAAATCTCCCTGCAAACAAATCAGGATGAATGCTTAATAAGCAGGTCATATGGAAGGGACCTGTCTCACAGACGCCTTTTTATGCCTGGTACAGCTGTAGAGCTTTGCCAGTCCACACATGAAAATCAGAAATATGGCACAGGTTTTTTTAAAGACAAAGGTGAATACAACATTTATTTTAAAAGCCCCCCTGAAACTGGAATGCAACAGCTTGTCAGCAGCCAGTTTGGATTCCTTGCAATTGCTATGATATAGTGAGCAAATCTAGCAACCAGTGAAAACAGCAAGTGTGGAAGCAGCCACTGCCTTTAGAGGCAAAAGCACAGCATCGCGTGCTATTAGCACTACAAATGTGTGTAACAGCATCTTCTGCACGCCTCTGTAGCTATGCGATGTGATGGTTGGTGTGTGTGTGTTGGCTTCTAAGTGCAAACGAAGGTGCGTGTGTAGCGTGCAAGAGAGACTGAGAGCAGATGTACAGGGCATGTGTGAAAAGTTCTCTTGGATCCCAGGGACATACCCGGTGCTGCCTTGGCTCTTGCTGACTGGCTGGAAATTGGGTCACTGCAATGCTGTGATGTCACACTTCAGTGCTCTGTTAGAATTACAGTGAAAGGGGCCCTTGGGAGGAGAGCTGGAGCCACTGCTAAACAATACAAGGAGAATCACTTCAAATCTACTGTAGCCGGGGAAGTGCACCCACTGCTTGTCTAGGGAGACATTCTTTGTGGAAAGCCTATAAGTATTTGGTCTCCCCTGTTCTGAAGCCAGATGGTAATGATGCCTCCTGTTGGGCTGGAGAGGAATCCCTGCACAATTTGATTGGCAGCTTTGTAGCGCCATGGCTGTCACAATCGTGAAAACTTTCACACCTGTACAGCGCAGCTTCTGAAAATCCCTCTTCAGCTCTGCACAGGCCTTAAAACCTGACAAATGTTTCCTTTTTGCAAATCAAAGCTAGTTATGAAACCTAGACTCACCTGTTCTGTACTGGAAGGACCAGGGATTACCCCCCCCTCCAAGGAAATAGAAAAAGGAAGATGTGAATGAAGGAACAATGGTTTCCTTAAATTCATTATCAGATTAATATTTCTGTATTTAAACAACTATGGATGCAAACACCCTTTAAAAGAAAATAATTTGTGGTTCCTGGGACTATATCAACAAAGAAAGTCAAGCAGCACTCTGGGAGATATATCCAATTAAGCCATACTCAGGGTAGATCCACTGAGATCAGTGTACTCAGAGATGGCTGATGCCATTGGGACTGGTAGGGTGGAAGGCAGGGAGGCCACCAGTAGGTGGAGCTAGTGACCGGTGGAGCCAACTAATTCTGGTTTTGTCCCCATCCTCCTTCCTGCTGAGTTCTACAAGAACAACACTGAGGCTAAGATGGAGGAAGCTGACAGCCAATATCTCTCCATGGATTGGCTATTGAGCAGGCAGGTAGGCTGATGAGGACTGGGTGAGGACAGACTGAGCGTGGTGTGGCAGTGCCCTATTCACCCTAATGGCCCAGCATCCACTGATCAGTGTCATTAAGTACATTGACACTAATTTCAATAGGTCTACTCTGAGTATGGTTTAATTGGATATCACCTATAGTATTCCAAAATAACAATAAGCATTTATGCCACAGGGGTGAGGAGGGGACTTAATAAATATTATTCTGGCTGCTATTTATGTACACTCACCTGGGAATAAACCCACGGAACCTACTTCAAACATGGATAATATTGTTTCAGTGAGGCAAGAATGTTGTTGGCAAGCCTGTTTCTTGCCCTGCTATGGCCAAGTCCAGCTGTGGACTTGAAAAGTTTGACACCTTCAAACATTTCAAGGAAAAAGATTCCCTTTTCCTAGTGGCAAGAGAAAAAACTATGAATCAATGTGGGTTGGGGAGCAGAGATGTGCTGGCCGAGTTCCTAATTCCCTGGTTTGGAATAGGAATTTGTCCGGCTTGTAATGCTCAACTAGAAATCAAGAGTCACTTCCTCCAGATCTTCTCTGGGTCAGAATGTAAAATGAGTTTCTGCACATGGGCAGTCAGAGTTTAGGCTGACGAGGCTGCTTTGTAAGCACATGCACGTAAGTTCTTTAATTTTACCCCCTTACTCTCAGTGAAACTCATTGATCACCATGAAACTATGTGAATAACAAAGCCAGCTGCTTCATAGCTTATGTGCAGAAATTCTTTAATGCCTGCCCCTTACTCTCAATGAAACGCTCATTGATTGCTGTGAACTACGTGACCAAATTAGCCAGCCAAGCAGTCTTCTGCTTAGGAGGAGGGTCTCTCGATTGGAGTCCGATCTCTCTGTTGTTGCAAGTGTTTCACTTGCTTGCAGTCCCCCATCTAGATCTAATACCCTATCTTGCTACTGAACGGAGTCTGCTTTTGGCAGGGGAGGGGTGGTTACATTTGCAAGTGGCTCTGAACCATGGCTGATAATGCAGGGAACTGCAACTCCCCAGAGGATGAATATGATAAGGTCTGTGTGCCTGGCACCCTCAGAATGCATGTGACAAACAACATCAGGAGCCAGAAACAGATATTGCTCTCAACCACCACCCCTCCACACCCCACAACCCCAAGAAAGTGTGTAAAAACTGAGACGGTTCAAAATTGAACTGTGGAGAGTTTGTCCAGCAAAAGTTCGGAGGCAAATGGTAACTATAATTTTGCTATTTAGTAGGTGTTTACAGGTGGAGAAGGAATTGGCAAACCACTCCAGTATTTTGTCAAGAAAATCCATGGACATAAAAAGGAGAAGCTTTGAGAAGAAAGTGAGAGTTTCCAAGGCTTGCTCTGGTTCATGGGGTCACGGAGAGTCGAACATGACTAAGACGACTAAACAACAACAACAAGGTGTTTACGGGGCATTTTGCTACCTGAGACAACCCCCACCCCACCCTGGTTCCATTTCATGGTCAGAATCCAGTCAGATGTTAGTCTGGTGATGTTCCATCACACCCAAAGGCAGCAGGTTAGCTTAGGGGTGTGTAGCAGGGCCCGTGTCTGAATGGACCTGGGTGGAAATGGGATTTATCCTGTGGTGCTCCATACTTTTAAGAATGTAAAGGCTGCCATATTTCTGAAACCACCAGATCTTTAAAAAACAACGACAGCAAGAAATACATTTGAAATTATCTCAGAAAGTGTTGTGTATGAATCATTTGGGTGAGGAAAACGTCTGAGTGCTGGATGACTTGAATACAAAATCATACTTCCAAACTGCATCTCCAGTTGTTAAATAAGCCGTGTATCCCCTACTCCAGAAGCAGCCTGCATTTAAATAAGAAAGAGATTTTTGAAAAGCCCAGTGTCTTGCGCCTTATAATGGTCAGTTTCAGATGCCGTAGGACAGCCATCCTCAACGTGGTGCCCTTCAGATGTTATTGAACTATAACTCTCACCTCCGCTGACCATGCCAGCTGGCACTGATGGAGTTGCTGTCTTACAGTATCTGGAAGGTACCAGCTTAGGGTAGGCTGCCTTGGAAGAAGCATAGCGCAGTCCAGGGCACTAATACAGATTAGCAGGTCTCTAGCACACATTCCTTCTATCCAATAGTTCATGCTTTACCCTTCACAAGACAGGAAATGCCCAGAACATCTTTGCTGATACCTACCTATCTAGTTTTTCTCTGAAGATGGTTGTCTTTCACCAGATCCTATGGCAGTGGATTTCAAATATCCATTGTCCACTGAAAACAGATCAGTTCAGAGAGAGGCACATTTAAAACCATTGATTTCAAAGATGTCTCAGGGACAACAAACTACACATGACATGGGAAATTGGATTCTGTAATGTCATTTCATTTGCTTAAAAGCATCTGTGAAGAAGGGGTTTGGATTTGGATTGTGGTTACGGTGCTGGGGGGAAAGGAGGGGAAAGACCACTTCCTCCTGCACTGTTTCCCTGATCAAATAACACCCCCCCCCCAGATGCTGTTATCAGCTATGGAGTCAAATAAGCACAGGCATTACTATTCCCTTCTGTGATGAACAGCAGCTGGGCATGTGAGATTTGATAAAATCATGGAAACATTGTAGGGGGAAGTGTTCAACTTTGCTTCCATAGCATGGCAGCCCAAATGCCTCCCACCCCACCTCCTCTATATGGCTGCTTTTAAGCAAACGAAAAGATGTCAGAAGAGCCAGTCCATGGACCTCTCACTTCATGGTGGCTTAACAGTCACCTAGTTCAGCGTAGACTTAGGGACGTTAGTTTGGTCCTTAAGCACTACATGTCATTTTTGTGCTGGACGGCAATATCTGCATTCCAAATCATTTAGGTTTCAAAATTTAGTGTAGGTGTAGAAGAAGTTTAGCACCCTTTTCTTCTTCCACCCACTGATTTATCCTGCGGTGCCCAGATGCAAAAGAGGACACAGCTTCTGCATGTAGATGAAGGGATTTCAGCAGGACTTGGCCAAGATAATGTGCCATTGCGACTTCCGGGGTGGCGCCATCGGCAATGGCGGACTCCCTCTGACTTGGAGGGACTAGCTCCGCGCGAAACGGGTCTTCTCCGCTACGGCGAAGCGGGGACCCTTTTAAAAATCACAGGCGGATGAAGCCTGTGATCATGGGACTCGGCGGGCACCCTTAGCGCCCCCCCAACCCGCTAAGGAACCCACTAACGGGCTCCGAAGCGAAGAGGGGAAAGTGGCGCGGTGCTGTGAGTCAACTGCTATTTCCGTGGAGCGAAGCCGCACAGCCGTTGCCGGAGAGCGCTGCCTTTTTCCTGGGACAAATTGGCTTCTAAAATAAGCACCCGTGAGTACTTAAACTTTGAACAATTGGACT